GAGGAGGACTTGGAGAAGGGGAGGAGAAGGTTGAGGGAGCAGCACTGACTGGTGGTCAGACAGTGCTGCTGGTCAGAAGCAGTCAGATGAACTGTCAGTGGGGAGGACAGCCATCTGGACGCCGCTTCACTTCTGTTTTATTCCGGCTGTGAATGTGATGGTGAGTTTCTACAGAGCTTCCTGCAGACCAAGGTGAGATCTTTCACTGGTTTGCTCCAACCAGAAACTCAGCTGCATAAACGTGAGAAGCTGCAAACAGCAAAACGATCTTCTGCTGCTGTTTCATCAGGTTGATATCTGAACAGACGCCGACCCGATGAAGCAGCACCGCCGCCTCAGCCGCACTTTGAGCAAATATTTGCTCACGGTGACATTTTCAAAATGGCGTCTCTCCAGATTAGAGTCGATCAGTCATTTGTTGATTCACTGCTGTTGATAATTTACCAGATTAAAACATATTAACGGATAGAGCCGAGGGTCGGGATGTCAGCAAATGTAGACCAGCTGCAGTACCTGGTTGTTCCACCAGGTGGAGCCTCTCCATATTTAACCCTGTAGAGACCAGAGGAGGCGTCTACAGACTACAGCTCATGATGGCAGCAGAGAGCATTGTGGGAGTTTAGCTCATAAACCAGGAGACAGTTTCCTGCGACGCTTCAGAGCTGTGGAACGAACCGATTGGATCACATGAGCACCACACGTTGCACCACGTCGCCTGAGCGATGTCCGTCACGGGACTGCGGTCATGATGCGTCTACTGGGTTCAGCCAATGTTACCGATTAGCTAAGTATTGATCGTTAAGGCCGCTGGCTACCGTAAAGGAAATTATTCAGGTGTTCTGGTGCTCGTTGAAGCAGATCCAGATCTAATTGGGACCAGACGGTGCGTAGGAGCCGTTATCTGCTGTAGTCGATGACCAGCTGCTGTCTGTGGTGTTACGCTGAATCCACACCAGGAGGCGCTTCCCGCGAGGCCGAGTTAATGACGCGTGGCTCTGTGGCGCCGTTCGAGCCTCACAGCCAATCGCGGGGCAGCGTCGTCCCTCGGCTGTCTCCTGCCGGAGAGGACGATAGCTTTCCCTCCACAGAGCAGCGACGGAGTCCAACCGGCTCCGCTGGATTTGTAATTTTCCTTGTAATTGAGCTGGGAGCCGATGGGAGGGAGACGGAGTCGTGAATCCATTTGTTCGGCTGCCGTGTGGTTCAGAGAGCGACGCTTCCTCTGAGCTCATCCTCCAGAGGAAGCTGGGCGCAGGATGGGAGGGATCACTCAGAGTTTATTGTCTGAAAACAAAGATGGGGCTTGTGTGGAGGAAGTTTCCTGAAAACATGAAGGCAGCAGGCGCAGACGGTCCGCTGTCGGCTCATTCTGTCCGGTTCAGTGTCCCAGCACCGTGTTCAGCGGAACCAGGGACAGGTGACGTCACAGGTGTTCATACGGACCTTGTTTAGGATCTCTGACCTCTACCGTGGAATCTGCTTTTAGTCCGTCTGTGAGTTCACAGTTTAATTTCATTCAGTCCAGAGCATCCACAGCTTCAAAGATGTTCCGCCAAAGACTTGAATGAAACTCAGGACCTCAACCCTCCGAAGCCTGAAGCCCTCATTAAAGGCAGGTTGTCGTTAAAAGTCATCACATTTATCTGCTGACAATCCTCGCATGACATCGGGTTCAGTCGGGAAATGAACCTCAAAATGGTGATATTTCACCAAACTCACTTCAGGTTCAGGAATTTTTCTAAAATTTGCAGTTTTTTCAAACCACATTCTGTAAACAAGCTCCGGCTGATGGTCCACGACTGCCTCAGCAGCTCTCAGAGTTTGTCCAAATGAAATAAACTTGTGCAAAATAAGTTAAAGTTCACCCTGAGAGGAAAATCCAATCCTGGATCCATAAATAAATGCAGCACGGATCAAAACCAGAGACCAGAGGAGCCAGTTGGTGGAGATACATTCAGCTGATGGTGGAACATCTTTCTACATCTGATGGTGGAACATCTTCCTACATCTGATGGTGGAACATCTTCCTACATCTGATGGTGGAACATCTGTCCGTGTTGTGACGGTAGCCGGTGAATCAGTTGGTCGTGTATCAGGCCAGACAGCCAGCTCTCCCGGAGCACAGGGGCATTCTGGGTAAATCTCCCACCAACTGCCTTCATGGACGTTACTGGTCAGTTGGTAAGACGTGGTTTCATCCCTGGAGGGCTGCTGGGACGTCACCACGAGGAGAAGTCACGCCTGAGCTTTGTTTGCGCCACACACTGGTGGAGGATGTTTGCTGCTCGGCTTCCTTCCTGTCCGGCTCGGCTATAGATGACTAAACGCCGGTGAGAGGACGGCGGCCGGCCGGCTCACCGAACACCGACGGGCGACACGTGAAGCAGCTCCGTTTAAAACCCGTCTGTAGCTTCAGCCACAAACCGTCACATTCACTGATAAAATTGACTGAACTCTGAGCTCAGCTGCAGTGTGAGTGTTGTTCTGCTTCTGCTCTGCAGCTCTGTGGAACCAGAACCACGTGAAGGAGGAGGAGACACAACTCCTCCAGAAAACATTTTTATTTAACCTTTATTTAACCAGGAAGTCTCATTGAGATTCAAAATCTCTTTAACAGGAGACACCTGGCCGCCCAGGTAGCCGCCCATCGCTACATATTGAGATGCACCAAATACAATTCAATTCAATTCAATTTTATGTTATTTTATTTGTATAGCGCATATTTACAACAACAGTCATCTCATAGCGCTTCACAAAGACAGAAACACCCAACAATCCAAACATCTGGATTCTCTATAAGCTTCAGCAGTCTGCTGGTGGGACGGAACCAAAAACCCCCGCAGGGGAAAAAAAACCTCGGACAGAACCAGGCTCAGGGAGGGACGGCCATCTGCCTCCACCGGTTGGGTGGATGTAGGATGAATTATACAATGTAGTTTACAGTTAAAATAAGTTATTAGAATTACAGATCAAACGAGAACAGTGGACCTGTCACACGTCTCCGTCACCATGGTCCTCATGATGCCCTTTAACTGATATGAAGGTTTGTCATCTAAGATCTTTCTGCAGATGAGTCCAAGCCCATGGGCCGTCGTAGGAAAAGGCAGTTTTCCCCAAATCAGGTTAAACTCGGGGTACGTTGAAGTTGTTTAAATCTGTTGATCTTAATTTTGTGTTTGGAACATCTACACATCAGGCTCCTCCTCCGGCCTCGCTGGGCCACCAGCACACACTGTTCCCGTCCTGAAGCTTTCTGATCAGGAGGCCTGGTTCCGCTCGGCGAGCTGGACGGCGCCCCCGGGTAGCTGGTTCGTGTTCTGAGACGGCGAGCTCACCGCGGCCGCAGAGCAGAACGAGGACGGCGTGACGTCCACGCTGCTGGATCCGGTTCCTGCTGACCAGACTCATGTCGGGATTTTCAACGTGTCGCGTGGAGTTCATGATCTCCTTCAAGACTTTAGTTCTGTTAATGAGCACACATCAACACTGAGCACATTCAGGCTGAGGTTCTGATCCGGGGTTCTGATGTTTACGTGACCTTGGGCGTGTGCGCTGCTGGAGCGTTGAGTAATCTTTCCGCTGCCTTGTCTTCGCAGCCCATTTACTGCCCTAATTAGACGATATTTCCCGGACAGATGTGCTCCTGCCTGTGCTGCTGCTCGTGTGCGGCCCGTTAGCGTGTACGAGCTCACGTGTGCCGGCGGTCAGACACGCCGCTCACACGCCATCGGACAGGACACGTGCTGATTTCAGTCCAGTGAAGAGCTTCGATTTATTGAAAATGAGTTCTGGATGAACTTACCTGGTAAAATAAAGGTCAGAGGAAACAAACTGAGCCTCTGGCGTTCTCTCTGCAGGTCGACAGCAAACCAGAATCGAACCAGGACAGACGTGATGGGGACAAACAGACAACAGGCAGACTGAGATGAGCTCTCTGGTTTTCTGCTGAAGTGGGTTTTTGTGGACCGGTTGAACCCACTCTGCCATGTTCTACAGAATCCTTGAAAATAATAAAAACCGCAGGAATAATTGGCACAGAGCCGCGTGACGTCTTCAGATGTCTCGTTTTGCTTCGAGGAAAGTTCGCAGCAGCATTTGGTTTTGCTCAGAAATGCAGATGGTCTTAATTGACTGGTCGACGGGTTGTTGGAGTCGCTTTATGTCTCCTTCTTTCAGGTTTGGCCTCATTTCATTCTTTCTGCTGTTTGGACCAAAATGATCGTCACAATTGTTTTGATCGCGACCGTTTGCTGATTTAAGGACGAAGTGTTTTTGTTGATCTGATTACATTCCTGCTAATCGGCATCGAAATAAGACCGAGAACAATCTTCATCTGAATCCAGATCAGCTGCTGGAGGCCTCGCTTGCCGAACATCTGCTTATCGCCAGAAACTACAGTTTACAGATGTTCCCTGAACGCCTCTCGGTCGTCAGTTGCTGCAGCGGCTCAGAGACCAGAACTCACTTTGAAATGAGGTGAAATAAGGAATTCAGGGATTTTATCAAGTCGGGCACCTTCAGCACCACCAGTCCAAAGCTCAGTGTGAAACCAGCCCAAAACCAGTTTAGACTCAGTCTGAAGCCAGTTCACTCTGGTTTGGGTGGTTTTAGACTTGTTTTGGACTGTGTTCAGACCAGAATTTGAACTGGTTTCAGGCTGGTTTTTGGATTTGGTTTTCAACTGGTTTTCAACTTGGTTTTAGACTGGTTTT